TATCTGTTTTATTTGTCATGTTCCTTCATGATTACATTTTTTTATTTATTTTACACACAATTATAAAAGAAAAGTCTCAAATCGTTAATTAATCGTCAAAACTAAATTATCGGCTCAGAAATATTTAATTTCCTGATATACTTAGTTTACGAGAGTAAAATAATAATTATAAACGAGAAGCATCGATCCAGAAATATTGCATTTCCATATCGAATAATTTCACAACGTCACTATTTAGTACTTGTCATAACGTTGCAACACTGAAATTGTCAAATCTGGAATCGAATTAAAATTCCGAGTATACATCGTTAAATAATTACATGAGGTAGCCGAAAAACATAATAATTAATTACATATTTACCTTCATAATTCACTAGCGGACCCGACAGACGTTGTCCTGCATATCCACTTGAATGTATAAACAAAAATTCATACAAATTAGTTTAAACATTTAGGATAAATAACCTAGACAGCGACTGAAGCGCCATCTGCCGGACTGATTTGTGAATCTAAACCATTCCCAGATCCCCTTGAATACACAAAAAAATTCATCAAAATCGGTCCAGTCGTTTGAGAGAAGTTCAGTGACATACACACTCACAGAAGAATTATATAATATAATTCATATCTACTTTGATTAACACAGGTTCGTTGTAGGCACAGTGGCTAGCAGAACTACCATAGGTTATATTATATTTTCAAGTTTCTCCGTGTGAGAAGAGTCAGCATTGGCACTTAAAAATTAAGTACTTACACATCCTAACTAATATTATAAATGCGAAAGTAACTCTGTCTGTCTGTCTGCTACTCTTTCACGCCAAAACTACTGAACGGATTTGAATGAAATTTGGTATACAGATATTCTAGACCCCGAGATAAAACATAGGCTACTTTTTATCGCGAAAAAGGGGTTGTAAGGGGTTAAAATGGAGGGGGGGGGGAGTTGTATGGGATTTCATAATTTTTAAAGATAAAACCATGAAACTTTATCTTTTAACCACTGAACTTATTTCATAGAGATTCTGTACAATAGTCGAAGTTTTTATTACTCAAAACTTACGTGATTGGGCCGGGACTGGTAAGAACCCTGCGGGATTTTTAATTTATTGAAATTACGATAAATCATTTCACAATAGGTAAATCTTAATTGGGCACTGAATTGATTCTGATGAATTCTGTCAGAAGTCATTAATCTACGCGGACGAAGTCGCGGGCAACAGCTAGTATGAACATATTTGTGATGAGTATGTTTTATGAGTTTTTTTTGTACAAGCCATCAAATTGTCGATGTTATTTCAAAGTATTTTCGACACTATCGCTGTTGGGCTAAAGTTGAAAATTGAATATTTTGACATTATCGATCTCAGTCAGATAAGTTTAGGAGTTACAAGATAAATATAATGTCACAAACATCTATCTAGATTAGGATCTAGAGTAAAATTGTCCTAAATATAGAAATAAACAGGAAAACTAGATTAACTTAAAACTGTGGGTTACTCACGTGAATATACTGAGAAAAGCTCTACTAGTTTCGAACCACAGAGGGGTTCTTCCTCATGAGCAGCGTGCGCGGTTGCGGCGAGGGAGAACTCAGTTTTTAGTTAATTTAGGAAAACTAGACTTAATACTTGCATAGATTTTGCCATACGTTCTCTAATGGGTCTGTTTTTATAAGCGATCACGAATATATAAGCGATAACGAATTTATAATCGTTATTTAGGTACGTATGTAGTTATTTAGAACTTGATATTTTTTGCACTAAATAGCATAATTAAAAGAATACTACTAGAAAAATACTAACATAACATACTTAGGTACTAATATCATCCAATTGAATTATGGAAATACGATTTTATTAAAAAATCACAACATTTAGTTTTGACTCCGAAAACTACGCAGTACATACTAGAAACGACATTAGTACCTATAGGTACTATTGTTTTAATCTCAAAAATATTTGAATGGTTTCTTACGTCTCGCTTCTGTGCTACGGAAGCCATAGTAACTGTTAAGAAATAAGTAGGTACCTACATTGTTAAGATAAACATATTATTTCTGCAAATAAGTATATAAGTAAATTACTCTGTAATATGTACGTATTTATACCTAACTAGCTTCGCCTGTTACTTCGTACACGCAATCCAGTTTTTTCCCGCTCTTGTAGGACTTTCGGGAAATCCTTGGGAAATAAAATATTCTATATATCCGTGTCCTCGTTCTAAGTCAGTTCCGCAGTTCCAAATCAATATAGCTTTTCTTTAGTTATAAAAGTTTATCTAACACGACTTCCTTTTATATATATACTATCTTCTGCCCGTGACTTCGTACGCGCAATCCCGTTTTTCCCGTTTCAGTTCCTGATTTTCGGTATAAAGTAAAAATAAGCATTGGATATAAAGTATC